AGAACCCTTGAATGTTGTGGCCCCTGATTTTTTTCATTTTTACACTTATTTTATTTTTTATTACTAAATTTCATTTATATACTGTAAAATACTTAATTTTCGCTGAAGGAATAATTCAGTGAAAATAAAATCCAGCGAATATATTTTTTTTTTCCTATATTTTACATTTAACTCGTCAAAAATCATTGAAAATAAATTCCATACAAAACACCCAAAATATCTTTTCAGCGAAAATTAATTCCATCGAAAATAAAGTATTCTACAGTATATGATATAGTGAGACGATTTTTTTTTACTGCTCAATTTTTTTGTGTCATTGATACGTAGATGTACAAGTCAAAACAAACGACTCACAACAATCATAAAAACACATTCAAGTTTTATATTTGTTTGTTTCTACTTACCTCCAGTTTCCAATTTGCTTGTCAACCTCAACGGTTTTAATAGCACAAAGTCTGGTATTGTGGGGTCTGAAGAAGGCTGTCTTTTAAGACCAATATGGTTATAACAATAACTTTTAAGTTAAGGAAGGAAACTACCCAAAACGTAAAAATTAAAAAATTTTCGAATGCAAAATTTGACAATAATAAAGAACAAGTTAAAACACTATAATAAAAAAAATTAAATGAGTAAGCTGATTTTTGATCAGAATGCTGTAAAATACTTTATTTTGGCTTGGAATTTATTTTCACTGAAGGAAGGATTCAGTGAAAATAAAATCCAGTGAATATACTTTTTTTTCTATATTTTACATTCAATGCGTCAAAAATCAGTGAAAATAAATTCCATACAAAACACTCAAAAAGTTTTTCCAGTGAAAATTAATTCCAGCTAATATAAAGCTGGAATTTTACAGTATATGTGGCAGTATGGCCAGGCTTATTCTCCATAGAATTTACTAATGTTACTTATATTACACATTTAGACAGAATAATCTGTACAGTTTAGAAAGCACGCAAAGTTAAGCTCTGAACCGGGACCCAATTGTCCCATACGCCACGTGATGACACCAGAACCTTGACAAACCTGCCGACCATGCTAAGTATTGTAATGAATGACCACGAATTCAAGTCTCATGATCCCTTTATAGACAATGCATGAGGCGCCTTCCTAGCTCAATGGTAAATGTGTTTGCATTCAGAAAAACCAAAACTGAATAGCACTAAACAAAACACAGAAATATGTAACAGTACTACATATGTGAGTTTGATGCAGATCATACCCATTGCACTTGAAAATTAGTCTCAGTCCGCAGAAATTTTTTACTAAGCTTATAAAATTCTCTGACTTCACTGCCAAATCTTCACCATTATTTAAACAAGTTAAAATACTTGACAAGCTTAAAACTTTTAATTTTATGTCATCATCATCTCAGTCATGGCTACCCCAGACGCTTGGACAACAGGGCTATGAGGCAGATAGTACGAGGTTACATTTTACCCGTAGTAATTTTATGTAGGATATCATCAACAAAAATTTGCCACTCTTTAAGTACTTTCAAATTACATGAATTAACACATGCACTTAACACCAGACGGAATATTGAGATGATCTTACTTTACTATGAGTTAAGACAACTATGGGGCAATCAATACATCATTCATAGGTTCTAAAATATGGAACAACTTACCAATGTTCTTAGAAGCTATGTCAAAATAGAAATTTGCATCAACTTATTTTATGTGACATGATTACCAAACCGCCTATGTAAATACTTTGCGGTGATTACCTCATACTATACACTTAAAGGGGTACCGATACTATAAATAGGGGCACGATGGCCACCAATTAGTATGCTAATCCCAACCAAGCCGCTAACATCGTGGCGGGAGCTCCAGAAAATGTGCCATTTACGATGTTTAGAGATCAAGCTATGATTCCGTATACATTTTACGAGGGCATGAATATGTACACTAGTGATTACACTCATCTGGTTGGGCTTTTGATGTATAAATGTTGTTGTTTTTGGTCGAAACATGCCGCGACAAGTAAAAATCCTGAGTTTAAAATGGCGGCCAATGTATGTAAAATGCATGTCAATCATATTTTGAGTAAGTGAGCAAAATTCATTTACTTTTCATTTCATTTACTTAGTGGACAGAGGCAGTGTTAATTACCCATGAGCACGTGGTGCAATCCATGGGATTGAGCGGTTCCCTTTAAGTAGCACAAGGTCGCATCAACCTTTGCTATGCGACACTGCACCGCCTATGTACATACTTTGCGGTGATAACCTCATAGTGTACAGACTGAATCAAGCATATCAAAGGATACAACTTTCGTGTTAAGATGTAACGTCGATTCTTATTCACGTCCGGAAATACCGATCTGATTCTTCTTCCAAAGTCTGCTATGCTTGGAAGACTCACACCTGGAAATGCACTTTTATATGCAGCAAGATATTTCCCATATGCAAAATCTACTACTATGTTGTTGTATGGAGTCCTCTGAAACACCTTTTTTATTAAAGCACTGGGTAGAGAAAAAAATACATTAAAATAAAAGAATTTAGAAAATGGCCATTAGAGGGCACTATAATGCTGGGGGGGGGGGCTGCTTTTGTTATGCAGCAAGATATTTCCGATATGCAAAATCTACCACTATGTTATTGTATGGAGTCCTCTGAAACACCATCCTTATTAAAGCACTGGGTAGCGAAAAAATATACATTAAACAATTTTTTTTGAAAAATGGCCATAAGAGGGCACTATAATGCACTAGAGGGGGGGTGGTTCTTTTGTTATGCAGCAATGATATTTCCCATGTACAAAATCTTCCACTATGTTATTGTATGGAGTCCTCTGAAACACTTTTTTTATTAAAACACTGGGTAGAGAAAAAAATATACATTAAAAAAAAAAGAATTTAGAAAAATGGCCATAAGAGGGCACTATAATGCATTATAACACATCACTCGTTAATACTGTACTGTAATTGGTCAAAACAGGATCACATGTTATCAGCTAAATTACCATAGTAGCGCCAGGGAAATTACTAGTTCCCTAGGGAGACTAGTACATCTACTAGTGCCCGGGGATGACGTCACTCGTCACCTGATCGTGTGATTTCCAACATGTCATCTGCTAGTTCGATCGCTGATATCGATGGTCCGGCTCAAACAACTAGACGATTTAGCTTCAGTTCAGAAGAAGAACTTGACACATTAGTAAAAAATAAAGATGCACCAAAGACGAAGGATGCAATCAGGTTTTCTAGAAGCATCTTTACATCGTTTTGTGAAGAAATTGGGATATCGCTAGCACACGTCGAGAAGAAGTCGGCAGACGATCTATGCACGTTCCTAGTATGAACATGTAATGTGTTATAAAACACATATTGCATGACCTAATTCGGCACTAAGATGTATACTAGTGCCCTCACGGCCATGCAATATGTGCTTACTAGAGGGTGGTTTTTTTGTTATGCAGCAATATATTTCCCCATGTACAAAATCTACTACTACTATGTTGTTGTATGGAGTCATCTGAGAATCCTTTATTATTATAGCACAAGCTAGAAGCAAATATACATTAAAAAAAAATTAAAAAAAAAGATTTTAGAAAACAACTATGAAAAGGCACTATAATACCAGGGTGCTGGTTTTGTTACAGTAATATATTAATGATCAATTTTGTGTTGAGTATTGGAGACATGATGTACATTGTAGCATGTCCAACTGCATATTTAATCAACTAGTTTTGAGTTATCACGTCATCAGTCGGTTTGTGTGCAAGAAGGAGGGTCTATTTCTATCTTCCAGAATTCATATTCTGGTTTCCCTGGTTACAGCGTTCCGATTAGCTATCAAACATTTTCGCAGCGTAATCAACCCCCTCTACGTCTTTTACGCAGACGAAATTGGAATGTTTTTACACCTGAGTCAAGTTTCCAAGGTAACGGTGGAACTCAAAACTGTTATGTTAACATATATTTACATGTACCTGCACATTGCGTTGCTTGGTCGGACACCAAACGGGTGAGAGGATGCCATTGTGTACACACTGCATACACTGTGCAGAATAAAAGAATTCTTAGATCAGTGTACTTACCTTAATACTGTGAATGCATTTATTATTCACTAGGTTTTAATTTTGCTATTTTCGATTATAAGACAAATTATCATACTGGACCGTGTTAGCAGCCAATGTCCTCAACTCTGAAAATCATGAATTTTTAGGGG